CTACATACAAACTAACTATGGAGCTGGACTTGGTCAGGCCAAGTGGATTTGGAGAGATGGTTCATTCCAGGCAGCATGTGCAAAGACAAGGAGACAAGAGGGCACTAGGCCATCTTCAACTGCGAACTGGCAGCAATTCAATCTGACTAGAGAGAAAGAGGTGATAGGAAAGGGTGAGGCACAGCTCTTTATGTTGGGTCAGAAATGTAGGTTTTGAGGAAACAGCAGTGCAGAATGAAAGGTGACTTCTTGTTTAAAATGCTCCCAAGATGCTTCATTAAGGAGCACATATATGATGGAATAAATTTTTGTTGAAAGAAGGAAGGAGTCCTTTGGAACTTCAATTAAAGTTTCATTCTTGGGATCAACTAAGCTTCCATTCTATAAATGTGTTTGTTACTGTTGTTAGGTGCCCTGGAGTTGACTTTGACTCATCGTGACCCTAGGTACAACAGGAAAAAACCATGCCAGATATGCTCCATCCTTATAACCTCTTCTGTGTCAATATTTTATTGAAGATCATCCTACCTGTGGTGCTACGGGCCTATTGTTCAAAGTGACTTTCCAAGCCATTGACTCCTGTCCATATGGATGGGCAGAAACATGTGAATACAGTGTGTTAGCCTGCACACAAGGGGACTGACTGGCTAGTGTTGCCACTAAATTTAGCACATTCTGCAGGAGATTGCAGGAACACCACCTTCACAAAGGAAGCAGAGAATGCAGAGAGCACATCTGCTGAGGCCAAAGACTCCTGTGTTGCTCAGATCAAGGCCCACAGGACCACCAGCAGCCGCCACAGCAGAGAACTAGAGACCTGATGCAAGACAGAGTTGATCTTGGGACTGCTACCCCATGGAACTAGAGCTAGAGGCCTTCACTCAAGTTTGTTGGAGACACCATAATTGGTAGTACTAATGGTGCTCCTGATCCAGGCCATGGTCTTCACAATTACTTGCTATGTATCAGAGATCTGGACAATGATTAAGGATGACAGAAGAAGAATCTATGCCTTTCAGTTGTGGTGCTGGAGAAGAATACTGAATATACTACGGACCGCCAAGAGAACAAACATGTCAGTCTGAGAGAGGGTGAAACCAAGTTTCTCTTTGGAGGCCAGAATTTTGAAGCTCTATCTCACATATTCTGGGCATGTGGCCAGGTGGGTTCAGTCCTTAGAGAAGGACATCATGCTTAGAAAGGTGGAGAGACAGAATAGGAGAGGAAGAACCCAGATGAGATGGATTAACATAGTAACTCAAGTAATGGGGATAGGTGTGTTGGAGTTAGTGAGACTGGCTCAGGATAGGGTAGGGTTCAGAGCTATTGTACATAGGGTTGCTATGAGTCACAGGTAACTCGATGGTACACAACAAAAGCAACACCAACAATGACGAGAGCTTTGTAGCACTGGTCTAAAGCTGCAAGTTTGAAGGCTGAGGTGCCTGTGAGAAAATTTCAGCAGCTGTCCTCAACTAACAGATGCACCCCTAGATGTACTCATTAAGTTATGCCAGGAAATTTGGAGGAAAACTACCTGGCTGGCTGACTGGAAGAGATCCATATTTGTCCCTATCCCCCAAAAAGGTGATCCAAAAGAATATGGAATTCAACAAAACATATCATTAATATGACATGCAAGCAAAATATTGCTGAAGATCATTAAAAAATGGTTCAAATAGTACATTGACAGTTAACCACTAGAAGTTCAAGCTGGGTTTACAGGAGGCCACAGCACCAGGGATATCATTGCTGGTGTCAGATGAATCCTGGCTGAAAGCACAGAATACCAGAAAAATGTCTATTGGTATTTTGTTGACTATGCAAAGACATTTAACTTTGTGGATCATAACAAATTATGGCTAACATTGAGAAAAATGGCAATCCCAGAACACTTAATAATTGTGCTCTTATGAAATTGTCCGAACAGAGCAAGTGAACACTGTATGTTTAAAATCAGGAAGGGTATGCATCAGGGTTGTATCCTTTCTCCTTACCTATTCTGTATGAATACCTAATACCTATTCTGTACCATACCTAATCTGTATGAATAATTTGGGAAGCTGGACTCTATGAGGAACAATATGACATCAGGATTGGAGGAAAATTCAACAAGCTGCATTATACAGATACCACACAGGATTTTGCTTACTGAAAGTGAGGAGAGAAAAAAAAAGAAGTTGGGTGACAGAAAAGGGGGGAAAAAGAAAAGAGAGGAGGATGTGAAAGTCTTGCTGCAGAAGATCAAAGACTGCAGCCTTCAATATGAATTACATCTCAACATCAGAAAACAAAGAAAGTTACCACAAGACCAAGAGTCAATGTTATGATAGATTGAGAAAGGACTGAAGCTGTCAATGGTTTCATTTTGCTTGGATCAACAACCAAAACTCCTGGTATCAGCCATCAGGAAATCAGGAGAGACATTGCATTGGGTAAGTCTACTGTCAGTAACTTCTCCAAAATGATGAAAAACAATGATGTAAGTTTGAAGACTAAGGAATATCTGATTCAGGCCATGGTCTTCTCAGTAATCTAGTAGGCATTAGAGAGCTGGACAGTGAATAAAGACAACAGAAGAAGAATATGATTTTAATTATGGTGCTGGAGAAGAGTACTGAATATCCCATGGACTGCCAAAAGAACAAATAGATAAGTTTTGGAAAAAGTGCAGCCAGAATGCTCCTTAGAGGCAAAAATAGGGAAGCTTCATCTTTTATACTTTGGACATGTAGCCAGGAGAAGCTATTCCTTGGTAAGGGACATCATGCTTTGAAAGATGGAGGGTCAGTGAAGAAGAGGAAGACTCCCAGTGAGATGGAGTGACATGGTTAATTCAGCAGTGGATTCTAGTGTGTCAGAGATGATGATGATGACGATGATGGCAAAGGACAGGGGAGAGCTTGGGTTGGCTGTTCATAGGCGACTATGAGTCATACTTAATTTGATGGTAACAACAACAATAATCAACCTAATTATATTTTAATTTCCTTTATGAGGACTTGAAACACTGGCTCCAGAAGATAAACATGGTGGCCTTCAATATGGATTGAATCTGAATATCAAGAAATAAACATTTCTCACCACTGGACTAATATGCAACATCATGATAGATGGAGAAAAGGTTGAAGCTGTCAATTACTTCATTTTACTTGGATTCACCGTCAATACACTTGATACCAGCACTCAAGAGATCAGGAGACATATTGTACTGGGCAAGTCTGCAGTCAAGTACCTCTCCAAATTACTGAGAAACTATGATCTTAGTTTGAGGACTACGGTGTGCCTGATTCAGACCATGGTATTTTCAATTACTCGCTATGCTGCTGAGAGCTGGATAATGAAAAAATTTGATGGGGGAAAAAACCCCAAAACACCAACCCTGATGCCTTTGAACTGTGATGTTGGGGAAGATGATGGAATATCCCACAATCTACCAAAAGAATAAACAGATACATCTTGGAGAAAGCACAGCCACAGTCCTCCTTGGAGGCAAGGACGCAACCCCTCATCTTTCATAAAGATATCATTCATGGAAAGATAGGGGGACAGTGAAGGAGAGGGAGTCCCTCAACAAGTGAACCGATACACTGACTGCAGGCATTGGGCTTGAGTGTGTTAGTGATTGTGACATTGGCACAGGAATAGGGTAGGGTTCAGATTTGTTGTTCACAGGGATTCATACTTAACAACACCTAGCAACAACAATAAACCTCAAAATCTTGCGTATGGTTCTGTGTCCTCTGTGACCTACTGCTGTGGACTTTACCCAGTAGAGCATTAAGATTGGTGTTAAAATTAGTAGAAAGAGGTGTGGGAACATGGGGGGGGGTAGATGTTTGACTTCATGGGAATTGGTTTTGTATTGTGTGGATGCTGTTGATAGGGATAGTTGACCTTATATGAATTAGCAGAGGTCAGATACAGCCATCCCCATTCTGCTATTGCTCCTTTTACACTCTCTTTACCTGACTCTCCACTTTTCCAAGCATAATATCCTTTACCAGAGACTGGCCCCTCTTGATTACATTTCTTTTTTTTCAACGTGTGTGTGCGCGCCACCTTCGAATGGGATCTGACTGGTACAGGAGATTGCCCCTCTTCTACAGCAGAGCATCTGATGGATTAGAACCGCATGCCTCTGGGATTGCAGTACAGCTTCTTGCCACTAGGCCACCAGAGCTCCCTTTGATTACATTTCTAAAGGATTTGAGGCAAGTCTTGCTTCTAAGGAGCATTCTAGATGCATTTTTGCCAAGACAGACTTGTTCATTCTTTGGCCATCCGCTCACCCTGGGAGTTCTCTTCCTCATCCCATTCACCGATCATACATTCTTCTTCCCCATGTGGTGAAATATATACAGAAACACTAATGCACCCACTTTTAAGCTTATCACCCCTTTTCAAAGCTTACTAAAACTTTGCCTTTCTGCCGATCAGAAAAAGGCAGAATAAATCTTCGCTGGCTGCTTAGCCTTAGTTTAGTCATATGAAAGGTGGATCGGCTTAGATCCCACGGTGGCGAGGTCACTCTTCCGATTTGATAATGCCCTTTGACAGGAACCCAGGTCCAGCCAAGCTCGGGCGCTCTACAGGTGGTGAAGCAACCTTCTTTTAGGTCCACAGCTCCCAGCCAAACCAAAGCTCCCACCAAACTTCAACACGCCCCCTAAGCTAGCAACTGATTGGTCAGTCCTACGCATATCTCTGAGCGGGTCTCACCTTCTGATTGGTTATTTTGCTCTCTGTTCTGCGCTAGAACCTTCCCCTTTTCTGATTGGTTATTGACCGACCTATTCTCGCCCAGGATTGGGCACCAGTTTGGTCGTCTGGCTGGCTCCTGGGGCCCCCGTTCTCCGATTGGTAATTCGGGTCAGCCTCATAGTCTGGATGCTGAATGGTTACACAGCTACCTGTATTGGTCTTTGATTGGATGCGCAGCGCCTCCCTGGCGTGATAGGTCAGGACCACCGCCCCCCTGGAGCCCCATTGGCTGCTCTGCAAAGCCCGGTCTCCGGGTAAGATGGCAGCGGACGGACAGTGCTCGCTCCCTGCTTCATGGCGGCCGGTAACCCTCACTCACGTAGAGTATCCTGCAGGTAAAAGGGGACCTCGACTCCGAGGACGCCTTCCTGGGGCCAGGCCCTAGCCACTGGCGTTCCAGCTCGCACAAGCTTGAGAAGGGGGCGCCAGGGAACTGGGGTGGGAACTGTCAAATAGTGAGCCATGGAGGGGCTCGGCCGGTGCGCGCTCCGCGCAGGCGCAATGGTGCAGCGATGAGCTGGGCGAAATTGTGAGCCTCTCGCTCGCGCACTCTGCGGCTGCGCGTCTGGGGCGCCTTTCCAGGTCTCTGGGTGCTCATGGACTGTAGTGGGCTGGGGTCTGTCGTAATGGGGGAAAGAATCATTAACCTGGACCTTACCCCCTGCTTCCTCGCCCTTTCCGGAACCAGGGAGGCCGGACTTTGTTAGGTTTGCAGGGAGTGCCCTGTCCCCTTCAAACAGTGCTTCGAGTCTGTTTCCAGGGCAAAGAGCTCCCCATTGCTGGGAGTGTGCAAGCCGAGGCTAGGCAGCTGTTTGTTTGAGTAGCATCTGGCTGGCACGCCTGAGCAAGGCATAGCTCCACAGCAGAGAAGGCCTTGCTAAGAGGCCAAAAAGACGCGTGGATTTTTACTTCTGAGGGTTTCCAGTGAGAAATATCTCTAGAAGCTCAGGGTTTTCCCATTTGCTTCAAACTGTTCGTGACTGTAGGTGGAGGCTATCTACTAGAATTGGTGCAAAGTGGTGCCTGGGGGACAGAAGAATTTGGGCTCGAGTTCAGGCTTAGGCCTGTGCAGATGACTTGCCTGCTCTATGCCTTAGTTACTTCATCTGAACTAATCGCAGTGCCTCCCTTTTAGGCCATGTGGTGTTACTAGGTGCCCTGGAGTAGGCTGCAACTCATGGTAACGCTTTATACAACAGCGCTGCCAGACCCTGCTATCCACTAGTTACCCTGGGCTTTAAGCTCATTGTTGCATCTCTTTGAGGGTCTTACTCCCCTTCATTTGCACTGTACTTTTTCAAAAGTGCATTTTTCCTAAGACAAATCTGATGATTTTTTTTTTATCAGTCTTGTTATATTCCATATTCTTTGCCAGCACTGTAATTCAGAGGCATCATTACTTCTTCGGTTTTCCTTATTCCTCATCTAACTTCCACATGCGTATTAATAGGTAGTGTAAAAAATCAGGTATCACAGGGCCTGAGAGGTGCAAACCTCCATGCCTACCCCACGGTAGGCATTCAGATAACGTCAGTTAATGTTAACCCACCTTCCCCGGGGCCCAGAAAACACTCCCCGTCTCTCTGTGGGTAGGATGATGGGATGCAGGTTGAGTCCTGTTTGCCTCAGGAAGGGCCTACTCCTGCTCCTTTCACGGAAAGGAATGTGCTGAGGCCACAGGTAACAGAAACCTCTCGCCTGAGTGTTTTAGGGTATGCAGGAGGTGGAGTGGCCCAGAGAGATGATAATCCCTGCCTACCTAGCTGCGTGCCTGCCCTCCTGCCCTTTGTCCATTGATTCTTTCAGCCAATATCCACTGAGATGCAGACCCAGGCTTGCACAGGTGAGATATGTCCCTGTCCTCCCAGGCTATGAAGAATCTCCACTTTATAGAACTAAAACTGAGCCCCAGAGAAGGAGGAGGTCTTGATTGAGGCCTTAGCACCTCTGTGACCTCCCATCCTGGCCTTGCAATAACTTCTTGTAATGCTCAGAGTCTTACAAGCAAGACAAGAAGGAACCTGATACTTTGAAAACAGGATGGTTCACTGGGATGACTTTCTGGGGACTGTGGTTGAGTCTGGAGGCATCTGATGAATATTTGTTATTGTTAGTAGGTGCCTTTGAGATGGAGCTGACTCATAGCTAACTCTCCAGCTGGTTTTCAGAGGTTATAAATTGCATGGAAGGAGATTGCTCATCATCCCCCATTGGAGAGAGTGGTGGATTCAAACCACATGCCTTTGGGTTGGCAGCACAGTGCTTTTTCTACTAGAGCTCTACACACCCCCGCCCCCCCCTACTGTGGTGTAGTATCTCTTACCACATTGGTAATGGCTTCATTCATCTAGTCACTTAACATCCCTTTGGTGTTCATTTAAGTGTCGGGCGCTATACTGGGTTTGGGGGTTAGAGTAGGATGAAGAGAGACCTTGTTCCTGCTGTTTAGAAGTGGACAGAGAGACAGACCTCAGTCCAGGACTAACAAGTGTATTATGAACAGTTTCTGGCTACAGAATATCAGACTAAGGGCTTCATACCTGCAGGGCCTGTGCCTGCCTTTTTTTGGCCACCATGGTGAATACTTAATGTCTTTTTTTGTATTAACCCAGAAGGCAGAAAGCATCCCAGGTGCGGGAAATGGTGTGTGCAAAGATCGTGAAGTAGGACAGAGCACTCTGCATCCTGGGAGCTGGCGTTAGGTCTCTGGAACTGGAGCAGAGGGTGGAAGAAGCAGGGCCCTGATTGTGTAGGACCTGGTAAACTGGGTACAGGTTGGATTTAGGAGCAGTGGGAGCCATTGAGGGACTTTGGATCAGAGACTGGTCAGGGCAGAACTGCTAAAACATCTTGAAGAGTACCCTAGGTCGGTCTTGACTACATGATAGGCCATGGAGATGACCAGAAGTTTGAAAGAGCCAGTCACCCTCTGTCCTCTTACTAGTGCCTTGGGGGTCAGTTAGAAGATTTAGTTTCTCAAAGCTGGAAGGGACCAGGCCATTGTATGAATGGAAGAGTCAGGCCCAGAAAAGGAAAGAGCCTGGCAGTGTCACCCTATTACTTGGAGCCAGGTGATATCACCCAGCTGGGTGGTCCATTTTCTCAGATCAACTCTAAGTCAGCACTTGCTTGGGTAGACAGGGGTAAAGCCAAGTCTCCCATCTCTCCAGGCCTGGAAATCTGGGCTCAGTTCCACATGAGCACCTTCCCTGGTGCCTGTGTGAGGTCAGACTGGTGTGTTCTGGGTACCACGCACTGAGCTGGATACCTCGCAGCACAGTCATAACACGGGGGTACCAGTATTACTGTTTCACAGATGAGAGTTTAGGGTCAGGAAGGTGAAGTCCTAACCTGAGGCTATGCAGCTAGCAAGTGCTAGCCCAGGACCTGAACCTCTGATCCTCAGAGTGACCACTTAATTACTCAGTCTTAAATGATGAGAACAGCTTTTGCACTTAGGTTAGCCCTGCCCTTGAGTACGGGTGAAAGCAATGCATATAGCTTTAGTGCCTTCATCTCTCAAAAGGAGCCTGGCAGTCCTCACACTGTCTCTGTCCAAGGCCTGTTTGTTGTTGTTTGGTGCCGTTGACCTCATGAGCAGTGACTCTGAACTTTGCCCTATCCTGTGCCGTTTTCATCATCTCTGATGTACTTGACCTATCTTATTGAGGGTCTACCTCTCTTTTGCTGACTTTCCACCTTTTCAAGCATGATGTCCTTCTCCAGGGACCTCCTAACAACACACTCAAAATATATGAGACGAACCTTGGCCATCCTTGCCTCCAAAGAGCACCCTGGCTGCACTTTGTTCAAGATATATGCTTGTTCTTTTGGCAGTCTGTGGGATATTCATGACTCTTCAACACCATAACTCAAAAGCATTAATTCTTCTGTCATCCTTAGTCATTGTCCAATTTTCAGGTGCATAACAAGTAATTGAAAAGACCATGGCACCTTAGTCTTTAAATTTACCTCACTGGGCCAGTTTCTTACCAGTGGAGAGAAAACAAGAAGCTGTCACAGTAACATGCTTGCCTCCCAGGTATCCTCCTTCACCCTGAACTTGGTCCCTGTTGTAGTCTTCCACATGGGCTTGAGGACACCAAACTTTGCTCAGCGGCTCAGAGATTGGCTGGGGCGGCTCTGGCACGGATCCTCTGAATTCCTGAGTCACCCCCATGCCAGTTCAGCTGCCTCCCTAATGCAAGGCTTGACTTCAGGAATTAGGCCGAGCTGGGTTCACATCATACTTGTGTGGGAGTGATGGGCAGAGAACCCTGGACCAGACTGAAAACTTGGATTTTAATCTAGCTTTTGCTTCATTCTGACGCTGTAATTTTGAGCAAGTCTTGTGACCCTCCTCTGGGACATTGTATTATCCTCATTTGATAAATTTTTTTTCTATAATTATATTTTATTAATTTTCATAAACATTTACAGAGATTTTGGGCTTCCACTCATTCATTGTTGCACTATTCTCTCTACCCTCCTCCCAGTTTGTTCTTGTCCAAATGCCACAGTGCTTGTCAAAGCCAGTTCTGATTAATCTTCTTTGTCAGTGTATCCTTTGCCATTCCCTATCACTCCTCCCTGAGAGAGACTTCACCTGAGTCATAAGGAAAAGGGGACGGCGTATTCTCTTAGCTACTTCCTGCTGAAAAGGGACGCTGTGGGTTTCAGGGTGAAGATCTTCTCTCACTACTCTAAAGGGCCCCTTTGGCAGTAGGAAACACATAGACTATTATGGAGATTGATTTTGGAATTTAGATGCACTCTTATTGATTGTGCTTGGCCGTACATGTTCATATCCTTGAGGATGTATCATGGGGGTGTTGCAACCTAGAAGACACAAATTTGACTAACAAGTTATAAGTACATGAGTCCAAAAATTATGGAAAAGTAAAAGAAAAGATTCTTTCATTGTTTTACAAACCCTCCCCCAGGTCCCCTCCACCATGCAGCCCTCGCTCTAGTCTCCTGTGATGACAGAAATGCCCAGTTACATCTCTCTTTTAAACGGTTCTCTCCCTCCTCTGTTTCAGTGCAGTATACATTATTGAACCTATCTTACTCAGTCTCTCCCCAACCCCAAGGACAGTCCCATTCTACAACAGTGGCATCATGTAATATTTGTCCTTTTGTGACTGGGATATTTCACTCAGCATAATGTTCTCCAGAGTCAACCATTTTGAATAATATTGCATGAGTTCCTTGTTTTTCAATGCAGCATAGTGCGAATATACCACAGCTTCTCTAGCCATTTGTTTGTTGATGGGCACTTAGGTTGTTTCCAACTCCTTGCTATTGTGAACAAAGCTGCAATAAACATGGGTGTGCATATATCTGCTTGGATGTCAGCTATGGTCTCTTCAGGGTATATTCCCAGTAGTGGAATTGCTGGGTCAAATGGTATCTCTATTTGCAACTTTTTGAGAAAGCGCCATACTGCTTTCCACAGGGGTCGCACCATTTTACACTCCCACCAACAGTGAATCAGGGTTCCAGTTTCTCCACAACCTCGCCAGCATTTGTTACTTGCTGTTCTGTCTCATTTGATAAATTTTAAAAACCCTTTCGTATTGAACTTATGATGTGGAACTTTTTATTTAGCAGTGGGGGTTTTGTATACCAACTTTAATTGCACTAATGTTAATAGTTCCTAATAACCCATGTATTAACTTTTTAATTATGTGCCTTCATTTCAACTTGTCCCAGTCCTATAGGACAGAGTGGTATTGCTCTACAGAGTTTCCTAGGCTATAAATCTTTATGGGAGCTATTGCCAGGCTTCTCTAATGTAATGGCTCTTGGGCTCAAACCACTGACCTTTCTTTTAGCAGCCAAGTGCTTAACTACTGGGCCAGCAGGGCCCTTTGTATGAGCTTTAGTTCTTGGTAGTCAGATGTGGTCCTGTTATGACTGGCTGCGTTGCTTTAACCAGCTGGTAGACTGAGCTACCTCTGGCTATCTGATCCTTCACTTCTGGCCATTCTGGGACCTCTTTACTGGCTCAGGGCCATCTTGGACAACTCTAGGACTTGCTAGTGAGAGGTGTGTGTGTGTGTGTGTGTGTGTGTGTGTGTGTGTGTGTGTGTGTGTGTTTTCCCTAGGGAGTTGTGAAGCTTACTCACAGGTGGCTCTTCTTTGATGGCTTGAATCCACCAGGGAGAAAGTATCCACATGGGAGAAAGATGGGTAATCTCATGTGTGATTTTAGCCTCTGTAAACCCAGAGGTATGAGTTGATTGCTATTCAGCGGCAGTGAATGAGGGACTTGTTGGAGATGGGGTTCCACTCATTGGGGCAGCTCGCTTTCTATGCATACTTTTGCTTGGCCTCATTCTGTTTTCCGTGTCTTTCCCAGGTGATCTCTCAGGCCACCTCCTTGCCTACCTGAGCCTCAGCCCTGTGTTTGTCATTGTTGGTTTTGTGACACTCATCATATTTAAGCGAGAGCTGCATACGGTAAGTGCGACTCCGTTACCCTCTGCCCGTTCTCTGATGACTCTGTCCTGAGGAAGAGGAAGCTGGATCTCCACGGTGCTTTCCTTTCCCTTCCCCGCTTCCGCCTTTTCTGAGGGGTTTGAAGAAACTTCCTAGCTGGTTCTGGACACACTCACTGACTGGGCTGGGAGGTTCCTTCAGAGCCTAAGGTCCTTGGGCTATTGCAGTTGCCAGCAGGCTTATCCGAGGCCCAACTGATTCCACATCTTTCCCAGCAGATTTCATTTCTTGGGGGCCTGGGACTGAACGAGGGAGTCAACTGGCTGATCAAACACGTCGTCCAAGAGCCACGGCCCTGTGGAGGTAGACCCTGGTCTGCGGGGAGCTGGGCGGTCCTTCCAGGTCAGGGCGTTACTTGGAGGCCTGACTCTTCCCACAATGCCCTGCTCTCCTTTCTCTCCCAGGCCCCCATTTGATAGTGAGCACCAAGTACGGGATGCCCTCCAGCCATTCCCAGTTTATGTGGTTCTTCTCCGTCTATTCCTTCCTTTTCTTGTATTTAAGGTGAGCTTTTGCTTTGTCACGGGCTATGCCAGGGGGTCACCTCTAGCCCATAGTACACTCCTTGGGGCCTGGCCTCCGATAGGGGTGGGAGGAGCTGGAGTCAAAGTAGAATGTGCTCAGGGAGTGCGTGGATGGGGCCAGGGACTGTTTGGGAGGCCCGGACTGCAGGCCATGGACTGAGGCCGTCCAATGGGCCTGTTTTCCCAGAATGCACCAAACGAACAACGCCAGGTTCCTGGACTTGCTGTGGAGGCACGTGCTCTCCCTGGGTCTCCTCACTGCGGCCTTTCTAGTCTCCTACAGCAGGTACAGAGGGATGGAAGGCCTCCCCAGCACACACCCTGTCCACTTGGGGTCTTTCTAGATTCTTGGTCTCTGTTGGAGTATGCAGTGTGGATCCTGCCTAATCTCAGACCCTCAAGGCAGGGCTGGGCCAGGAGCCTTAGATGCCAGCTTTAAAGGAACAAGTTTCCAGCCACACCTTCCAGCCCTAGCTTTTACTTTTTCTTCCAGGGTTCTGGGAATACTTCCGTGGTTTCTCAGAATCCTGGAAGAGCCTCTTGCAGACAAACTGAGGCTTCAAGGGCAGGATGGAAGGGAAGCAAATCCCAGCAGAACCACCCTCCGCCTCTCACTCTTAGAAACTGGAGGAGCAGCTGTTGGGATCTAATCCCCTACCTTCATCTGGACGCAGATCTGAGGCTCCTTGTCACAGGAGGCTGTGTCCTACCTGTGTGTGTGTCTCTACATATGAGAACCAAGTCCCTGGGAAGCTGGCACTTGGACGTGGGGGATTGTGCGGGCCTTACTCCGATTGGCTCACATGGGCTTCTTTTCTGGCTTTGGCCCAGGGTCTACCTGCTGTACCACACCTGGAGCCAGGTGCTCTATGGGGGCATCGCTGGGAGCCTCATGGCCATCGCATGGTTTGTCTTCACACAAGAGGTCCTCACCCCGCTATTCCCCAGGATAGCAGCCTGGTAACTGCCTCCTGTCCCTGTTGCTGCCCCTCCTGCCTTCCTGGGTGCACAGCCCATGCCCCTTCCTGCAGGTGGGGCCATTAGTAGGAGGACCTTCAACAAGGTTCTCAGGGACTTAGTAGCAGTCTGGGTCCTGCTAAGCTGTGTGGGGTGGTGGTCTTGGCTGAGATGACACCAGTGACATGTCTGGTTCACTTAATGGCTTTTGGGTCTCAGGCCAGACAAGGACTTCCTGGGTAAGGGGCAGCATTGGTCCCAGGCACTGATTGGGGGACCTGCCATGGTAACCATCTCTTGCCCTGACTTGGCTCTGGCTTCTTGGGTATATCTTTCCAGGCCCATCTCTGAGTTCTTTCTAATCCGAGACACAAGCCTCATCCCCAATGTGCTCTGGTTTGAGTACACAGTAACCCGGGCAGAAGCCAGGTGAGTTCAGCGGGGCTAGGCCCCAGGCAGCCCCTCTCTCATTTTTCGAAAGTCTCTTAAGAGCCAGGCAGTTGCCTGTGCACTTTTTTCTCATTGTTTCGTTGAATCTAGTTAAGGCCCACATTTTACAGGCAACACCACTGAGGTTCTGAGAAGTGAAGGCAAGTCACCTGGTTTAAGATCTGGCTGCCAGGGAGTGGGGAGCAGGTTCCATGGCCTGTCCTTTTCATTTCTCCAGCCCAGTCACCTGTCATGGCAGTGGATGTTCTCAGGGCATCTCCTGCCTCTGTGTGGATATTCCTGGGGTTGCTCAGTCTAGACATCTTTATAGATGGGTAAACTGAGGTGCAGTAGATTGGCAGGCTAGCCATGGTTGTACAGTAAGGTTGGGGCAAAGCTGGGCTTTGGAATCTCCTGATGCACTATCTGCTGGTCCATTTATCTCAAATCTTGGTGGGGTGCCCGAGGGAGTGAGGGGAAGGTGGCTTCAGAGGGGAGTGGAGGAGAAACCCCAGACCTTGAGGGATTCTCCAGCCAGCAGTGAGAGGAGCCATGGGTGTGGTGAGATGTGGCAGGAAGCAGCCCTGCAGCCTGGAAATGTGTTCAGTGCATCATGTCCACATTATCCTAATGAGCTTAAGGGTAAAGCCCCAGATCCATTAGAAAAAGTGGATTTGAGGGGGTTAGGGCAGGGCAGTCCCATTAGCAGCAGAAAGCTGGCCCCAGATCGTCTCTCCCCCTGGAGCCTGGGATGGCAGCCCCACCTTGCACTGTCTGGTTTGGCTGACTGCCATCCACCTTCCTGTAACTAAAGTCTGTGATACTTGCTCTGGCCTGGCTTTGTGCTGAGAGAGCTACAGTCCCTACAGTCCTGGCCCTTGTGTGCAACATTGGACGTGGCAGATGGGCTGATCAGATGCCTTGGAACTTGTAACAGGAACGTGTTGTTGGGGCCGGGCAGGGACAGGCATCCCAGGAATCAGACTCAAACAGTGAGAAGACTGGTCAAGCTGGGGGGCTGTCAGGGAGCACCTTTTCTGGAGAAGGCACAGTATGTATGGTGCTCCCAATCAGGATGAAGCTTAGTGAGTCTACCAGAGCGACAGACAGACCCACAGAGCCTTGGTAGCCCCAACCAGGAAGCAAAGGGCTGGGCACAGGAGGGCCAGATCATGTAGAGGTTATTATGATTCTAGATTTTAACTGTGGGGCTAGATAAACCCTCTTTCTCTTTTCTGAGTCTCAGCCAGCATCCCCTTAAAATAAAGGCCTGTTCTATTTTAGTGTCTCCTCTCCTCCAAATTCTGGGGCCTGTCATGGATAAAGCCACACCACCAAATCGCAGATCTCAGCATTTAACCCTCTGTAACTTCTTTCAGTAGTTCTCTTATGTTTGCTTGCATCCCTCCCAAAAGGAGAGCTCACTACCTTATTTTAATATTGTAATTTGGTTGTGATTGTTATTAAAAGAACTCCACTTGCATGAGTCTAGTTCCTGTAATTACTTGGAATCCAAACAGATCCCTTTTGCCTCTGTTGGCTCCTATGATCCATACCCTGACCTCTCCCAACCACAGGGCATCATTCCCAGCCTACAGGGCAGGGATCTGTGGGGAGACAGAGAGAGTCTCTATTCCCTGGGCAGGCACTCAAATTAGCTTATGGGGACTGTGGATAGGGAGGGGACAGCTGGGTAAAGGGACCTGAGTGACCCATGCATCCCTGAATCTGACCTCTGGCCTCCATTCCTCTTTTTTTCAGAAATAGACAGCGTAAGCTGGGGACAAAACTACAGTGACTGGTGGGTGTGGCTGGGCCCAGCCTCCAGGTCTGGCCTGCACAATGCCTTGCAGGATGGATGGAATGATCGACAGAGGGACAAAGCTGAGACCTCTCCAGACCCAAGTCACCAAGTGGAGCCTTTTTTTTCCTCTTATTTTGATTTTAATGAACAAGGTGGACCAAAGGGCCAAGCCCCTCAACCAAGACCCTGGAAGGCCTGCTGTCAGGGGGCCACAGGGCTAGAGACCCTCGCTGTGCTGCTGCCAGCCCCTGGTTGGGTGGAAAGTGCCCTTGGCATGGGCACCAGAGTATGGGATCCAGGAGGAGAGCTTGAGCCTCTGGTCTCGGGGCCAGGAAATTAGGTGGCATGTAAAGTGCACACTATTTATTTTTTGTTTTTTTGTCAAAGGCAGATAGGATTTTGGAGTTGAGGCCAGAAGAGTGTGTTCCGCAGTGACTGCACGCATACATGGGGCCCAGGTCAGCCTCCCAGGCCCTTTGCCTTGAGCCCAGGGGCAGACTGTCTCTTCTCTTGTCTGCGGAGTGATCTGGGGGACCAGGAGGAGGAGGCCATCCCCTGTCCCCTCCCTGCCACCATTGCCATTCCAGAACCTCGTTCAGTGTTTCTGTGTCTGGGGGCGAGGGCCCAGAAAGAGCGTGTGTTCGGCGGCTGCTATCCTTGTGTTCTACCCTGTACTGACCCTGTACCACAAGGGCTTTCTCTGACTCCCTGTCCTCAAGACAGTGGTCCCTTTCTGACAAAAGAGCCTGCACATTGTGGGTGAGCAAACCCAAGCTGTTTACAGCTCTTTTTCTGTCCTGCCATCCGGTAGCATTTGGCCCTCATCCCCACTTGAACAAGATGCTAAGGCTGCAGTGAGAGGAAGGGCCGGGGTGCCTGTCCTCTCCCTCTCTTCCCTCTGCGTCTTCTGAACATGGCCTTGTCCTTCCCCGCCTCCTCTAGTGGGCTGGGCACCCGCTTGGGCTCACCCTCAAGCCCGTGTTGGGGTTTGGGCTCGTTCGTTCTTTGGGGGCCCAGCTCAGAAGAGGGCTCCTCTTGACAGGAGCTAATCTCAAATCACCCTGAGATGGAGTCATGCAGATGTTCCAGACTCTCGGGAGTTTCTAGAACTGAATCAGGCCGTTCAGGCTGTGTTCGAATCCCTTTCTCCCTTTTCTTTGTGGAGGTTCCTAATCTGCTGCTGAAGCACAATATTGTGGTGCTTTCTTTTCTCTCATTTGTTAAAGGCAGTGTCCAAAAGCCATTCCGGATGTCAGGACCAGGGGCTTATTTCTGGGGAAGGTAGGTCAGTCCCTGTATTTCCCTCCCCTTCCTTTTTTATTTTTTACTTTTTTTGCCTGAGACAAGCCAAGTGTGAGGTGGTTTAAGAGAAATCATTGAAATTGTTTACTATTGTTTTAAAATAAAATTGTAAACTCCGGTGGCTTGAGCACATGTTGCCCTAAACTTGGGAGAACCTGGAGGCAGCTGTGGAGATCCAGGACCCTGAGGAGTGAGGTTGTGGTGGAGATGTAACAGCGTAAGCATCTCTGAGACCCCCTCATCCTTTCATCCCTCAAAGCATTTGTATTGGCTCCAGGATGTTTCCCACCAGCAATTGTCCAGCCTCTGGCCACAGCCCTCCAGTGCTGGACAGCTCATTGCCTCCCTGGGATCTGGCATCCTTTTTCTAGAAAGCTTTTCCCCTTCTTTCTGTTGTTCTGCCCTCAGTAAACCTCGTTCCTCTCTTTAATGTGACAGCCCCTCAGGACTGAAGATAGCCTGCTTGTTCTTCCTACACCTCCCCTAGGATAAATATCTCCGTTTATTTAATTCCATATTTGTTGAATGTATGGCTGGATTAGTATCTTTGAAAAAAATAATTGTAAACAGAGGAGGGTTTTTGGAGCCATTACAAGAGTGAGATAAACACAAGTCAGACTCAAAAGCTGGCCCAAGGAGGGATGTCTACTCTTTCCTCGGTGCATTAAGCTGAGACGCAGAAAAGCTACATCCTGGGGGTGATGGTTAATCAGACGTAATCTCGTCTCCTAAATCCAGTACAATCTGGATTTAGTCTTCTAAGCAGTCCATGGGAGCTTTGGTGGCCTATGGTGAGTTGCTCCTCATTTGCAAGATGGGCACTCTCATGTGTGATTTATAGTCCTGGAAGGAGGGTCAGCTCTGAGTTGGTTTCAAACTTGATGGCACCCAACAACTTCAGGTGGTCCACAGAACCTCAGCGTTCAGGTAAAGTGGCCTCCGTGAGTTGTGATCGCAGGTGTGGCAGAGACAAGGCTCTGGAGGAGGGAACCTTCATTCTAGCCTTCAGATTATTTGTCCAAATAATTTGTAAAAGTACAAAACCAAGATACAGACCAAGCCAGGTTCATGAGGCAGTAAGACACGACGATGAGAACCAACAGAAATAATGGCGAGTAGAAACAGGCATGTGGGTATTCTAATACTAGAATTATCAAGGATACACTAAATAGTTCTATTGTTTTAAATAAGAGACAAACTTAAAAATACCCACAGATAACAAATGGGTTCTGGCTGGTTTTAAAGTTAATCAAAACTGGAAAATAATGAAAAGTAAGAACTGAACAGGTAGGTTTAACAGACTAGACACAGTTGGAGAGAAAAAGTAAAAATCCATTGGCAAGATGAAAGTCCTCAAGATAAAAGTCCAGCAGGTCCTCAGATGTACTTGACAACTCTGCTTCACTGTTATTTAACAGCCCTTCTCTCCACCTCAGGGGGTCTTGGAGAATGACCTCAAGCCTTCAAAGTAACTCATGCCAGTGGAAGCAGAAATAACCCAACTCCTTCATGCCTTAGTTAGTCTACACTAACTTCTGTTCCCTTATTTGATAAGAATCTTGATTGCGGCCGATTCTTTTTTTCTTTGTACCTGCCCAGTATGGGTCACGTCTGGAGGCACTCTTCCAGCTTCCGTTGGTTTTCCTCATCCCCACCCCAAGCCCAGTGCTCTTCAGTCCATTTCTCACTTCCTCACATCACAGCAATCCTCTCACTCTTCTCCCAAAAGAAACCCCACAGTGTCACCTCAGACTGCTGACTGCACTGCAGTCCCATGTTGTCTGGCCCTCAACAGTAGCCTTCATTCCAGACCTGCCCTGATGGGCACCACAACTTTTTCCTGCTTCATAGATGCAAAAGAAAGTGCATGTCAACTTGGATCTATAAGCATGTAGTATATTTAGATGAAGGCCAAGTGTCTGTTTTATGACATGCTCAGATTTTAAGTGGTATGGAAAATTTACAAGTGTTATTTTCCACTCATGTTATGTACCCTTGGGTCAGAACCAATGCAGCTTACCCTCCAACAGTTTTTCAGAGGCTATAAATCGAATAGGAAGAAACTGCCCACCTTTTTTCCTGGGTATCAGCTGGTAGATTTGAATCTTGTGTCTTTGGGATGGCAGCTCAACTTCTTAGGACCACGAAATTTCCCTTTGCCATGCATTCTTTGTGCAAACACGCATGCAGTTGTGACTCTTCTGCATTTTAGCCATCAGGATTAGGTCATCCCCAGGGTCACCTGTATGTTACTAAGTTCTGGCTTCACTATCTTCACTACAGCCAAGTCGTTTGAGACACAGAAATCCCTTCTGAACTTGAGGGAAGTTTGTTCAGTCCTTCTAGTGAGCTGTGTTAAGACTACTGAACAACAGTGGAACCTTGCTCGATCCTGGACCATCCTCACAGTCTCTTACTCGCTTGGGCCTATTGTTGAGTCACTGTGTCAATCCAATCACTGTGTCAGTCCATCTTGTTGAGAGTTGTCTTCCCTTTCTCTGACCCTCCACTTTTCTCCATATAATAACTTTTTTCCAAGGACTGGCCTCTTCTGACAGCATGCCCAAAGTATGTGAGATGCCGTTTCACCATTATGCCTCTAAGGAGCACCCTGGTTACACCTCCTCCAAGCCATGCATGCATGATGGTGGTGGTGTTATGTGCCATTGAGTTGCCTGTGACTCATAGTGACCCTAAACAATATCTCTGAATCCTGCCTTATCCTGAGCCAATTCATCTCATCCTGGGTCTTCCTCTCCTGGGCTGACCCTCCACCTTTCCACGCATGTCCTCTAAGGATGTATGGTATTAACTGAAAATTCCCAAATCACAAGTGCCATTGGCACCACATTTAAATAGTTGAACACAAATTCATACTGTAGATGTGTCTTGGTAATCATTACAACTAGCAACTCACCTCATTACTCTTTAGGGATATTTAAAGTATTTGTTTATATGGAAATCTAATACTTGCTACATATTCTGAGGTCACACCCTAAGGAGTGAGGATTGTTTTTTTTTGCCAGTCAATTTTCACCACCAGTTCACTAAACCTACTGCCATCGGTTAATCCAGCAGGACAGAGTAGAACTGCCCTGTAAGGGGTTCTGAGGCTAGAAATCTATAGGAGCAGAATACCTCATCTTGATCCTGCAGAGTGGGTGGTGGATTTGAACCACTGGACTTTTAGACTAGTAGCCCAACACTTAACCTAGTGTGCTAACAGAGCTCATACCAGTGCCCCTGGAAGAACTTGCATATAATAGTAATTGGAGTTGTTGAAGCAGTTAATGTAACAATAATACTCTTCTGTGCTCGCTTCGGCAGCACATATACTAAAATTGGAACGATACAGAGAAGATTAGCATGGCCCCTGCGCAAGGATGACACGCAAATTCGTGAAGCGTTCCATATTTTCGACCCTGAAATGAACCAGTCTGTAATGAAGGCTAACTCCTAACTCCTTTCACCTACAAATTTCGTTTTTGGATACAAAGCTAAGTGGATAGTCCTTACGGAGGGACTGTTTAAAAAGAGGCAGGGAGAAGAAAAGAAAAAAAAAAACGCACAATAATACTCTTCTATACTATAATAGACCTGCAACAATTTAAATGTGAGGGTATGCCCTTGCTTCTGAAGGGTAAATGGGTGTCAGACTTGCAGTTTCTTCATTCACTCTTGTCTCTGTACCCTTTATTTGGATAACTCACTCCTCTGCTGTTGCTTCAGTTTGGGTAACATGTGGGCCCTACCCAAAGTGCTGTTCACAGAGCAGCTACTCAATCCTGTCAGGGCCTAGATTTCCCAAGACTCCTAGAAGACACACCATCACGGCTGTGGTGCAGAAGGTTCAGACTTATCTGAGCAAACAGCCAAGCCAGGATGCTCACCTTGGTAGGTGTCTCTTCCAGGCCTGCCTGATAAACCCCCATGCCTAGGAGAACCACTTCCGGGCTGGGGGCAGGGGAGTGATATGCCCTCTTTGAACCTCAGCTCAGGTTCTCAGCCAAGACCAAGGATCATATTGGGAGGCCATCTTCACAGAGCTGGAGGAAGACTGGCTAAGGATATGGGGTACCTGTCAGGTCAGCTCTACCCAGTCAATGCCTTGGACTGGCCGGCTCTTTCCTGTGCCTCTGAGGCCTTGGTCCTCTGTCTGCCCTCTTCGTGGGTGCTGGGAGCAGCTTGCACCCCCCTCTTCCTTTCTCTACTTAGGTTGTCTCACAGCCTGAGTGTAGAGTGGGGAAGGGGGCTCTACCTTTCCATATGATTCCCAGGGGGTGCACTCCTTGGATCCTGGCCTGGAAAGACAGGTCCAGCCTCAGGCAATCTCTGCCATTTGGTGGTCACTGAGAAAATGATAGGACCCACCCTTGCGTGGTTGTCCCATGAAGCAAGCTGACCTCTTCCCTTCCTCCCACATTTGGCATCTGCTCTTGGGGTTTCACATGTACCTTCCTTGAGGGTTAATGTCTTCCTGAGGGTTTACTTACCTTTGTCACCAAACACCAGATGGCTCAGGCAGGACAACCTCTGCCAGCTCCACAGGGGGTAAAGACACAGGTGTAAGATTCTCATCAGGTGTGTGTCTGGGGCTGGAGTGGTGCCTATCAGCTGCCATTCCTGCTGGTCCCAAGTGAGGCCTGGGGAACGACGCCTTGGGTCCTGATAATGTTACACATTGTCCTGTCCCCCTCCCCCTGGGGCTGCAGAGCCCACACTTAGTGGTAGGGAGGATGTTATCTGTCTGGAGTGCCACCTTCACCAGGTCTCCTGCCCCGGTGCTGTGGCTAGAGAAGGCCTTTGGCCTCCATGTCCTCTTGGCTCCTTTGAGCGGCTTGGCTGCTTGGACACCAGCTCCAGACCCTGGGGGAAGCCGCAGGAGGGCAAGGCCAGGTGTCTGCTCTCACTCTTCCTGCTCCATCAGCTGAAGCAACTATTCACCAACGGTTTCCCTTTATTATCTTGTATGTGAATATTATACAACAGTCATGAATATGGTTGGGGAGTCAAGCTGAGTGGAAATGAGAGGGCTGGAACTTGTGAGCCACATTATCCGAAAAGCACAGCGGCCACATGGGAATGGTACCCTGAACAGGGTGGAGGGAGCCTTGGCCTTGCCTTCACCTTAGCCGACTCCCCGGTCTTTCAGGTGTTCATCTGAGAAAGATGGCTGAGGTCTTTGGTTCTAGGTAATCTGTCTCCAGATTCGCAGGGGCCGAGGATCAGGTTACAGAGCCCAGCCCAGCTGTGGAGAAGGTTGGGACCGCTGGAGGAGCTGCAAGGGAATTGATTTGTTCCCACGCTCATGCTTGGGCACAGAGTCCTAGGCTGGGTCCTGTCCCCAGAAGGGGTCTGGGGCCCTATAATCTGTTCAATGTCCAAGCTCAGTCCCAGGCTAGAGTGGGTCACTGTAGTAGGTCTGAGATGACCAGTGGAAGGCACTTGGCTTGAGTCTGTCAGCCACACTAGGGGAGAATACCCTGGATCAGTCAGCTCTGGAGCAATCAGGGAAAGAGGGAAGACCACTCCAGTGGAGAATGAGTCAAGCCCTGATTGGTGCTGGCAGGCCTGTGTGCATAGGTTTAGAGCTTGGCCCGGGGGTGGCCCTGGATCAGGGCCCGCATGTCCAGAAGGGCCTTCTCCAGGTAGTGCGCCATACGGGCTGCGTTGGTCTCGGCGCAGCTGTTGTAGGCTGACACGGAGAAGTTGATGTGGGCTTCCATGGGGTTATAGCAGACTCCGTAGCCATCTGGGACAACGGGCCCAAAGAGCATGACACAGTCTGTCTTGGCAGGGACCTGGAAGAACAGCATGGGATGAATGCGCCCATCCCCTCTTCTGACAGGCTCCTCAGCCTGAATCGCTGTTTTTAGGTCTCTGCCTGCTGTCCTCTGCCTACCGTGCCCTTTCCTTCCTTCTCTTACCACCCTCCTATCCTTCAAGGTATGCTGTCTTCATCTCTATGGCTGCCTTCATGACCCTCAGGGTGGTTTAACTTGTTCCCCGCCTGGGGCTCCTGGATCCCTTTGGTTTCCTGACTCCCACTGCTTTCCAGGAGACTTTCATTGCCACATTCCTTCTGCTTTCTCAATGGAACTCCTCTTCAGTGCTAGGCACAGGCCAGTTGTTCATTTGTACATGTCTAACAGGTGAACAAGGTTACCTCTCCTACCATGTGTCCATGACCCCTCACCTGGCACAGACAGGTGGTGAAGGCCTGAGCCCAACTCCTCCTCCAGAACTCAGCCTACACAGGCCCCATCACCTCCGTGGTCCACTCCAGGCTGGTCCAACCACATTTTTGACCCTGACTCTGCTCAGTGCTGTCTTTATTTAACTCCAGCTCCCTGCAGGCTGTCTTCCATCCCCCTCCAGTGACCTAGGCTCAGGCAGGGGTCTGGATAGCTCACCTGACTGGTGGAGAGGTTGAAGTGCATGGCTATGGCATAAGAGGTGTCCATGAAGATGTCAGGCATGCTCACTAGGTCCTCGATGGCCTGCAGCTTTAGGCCCAGCAGGTGCCGGTCAAAGGCCTCCCCACGGATGGCCTGTGGGAGGGTAGAGCATTAGGAGTGGCGACTGTGGGCCATGGGGTGTTCCTGCCTTCTTCAGGACAGAACCACCCTGCCGCCAGTTGCTGGCTTTTTGGAATGGAGACCAGAATGTCTTGTCAGGAGGGCCCTCACTTCACTGAAAGAGAAACTCGGGCTCAGGAAGGGGCAGAGACCTGCCTAGAGAGAAAAAAAAAACAGTGCAGGACTTAAGAGCTTGGGCTCTGGAGCTGGTTGTGGGCCAGTGGGCAGGTCACTTAGGTCCTGGAGCCTCAATGTCTTCATCTGCAAAGTTAAAAGTCCTTGAATTTGCCTTACCGGGTGGCAATAAGGGCTTAATGGGCAGCTACATGTAACAAGGCTTGTGCTGGCTGAGCCTGGCACACAGATAACAGAGACAGAGCCAGGATCAGAACACAGCCCTCCTCCCTGACTCAAACCCATAGTGTTGGCAGGCAAGAGCCCTGCTGTCCACACGCATCAGAGGGGACAGAACCCAAGATCAAAGTGCCCGTGCTAAGCCTGAAGGCCACAATCAGGGCAGTTACTGGACCCTGCCTCAGTTTCTCCAAGTTTAAAATGGGGATAATTCAGTCTTTCTCTAGTGCCCCAAGGCTCAGAGGGTAAGTGGTTCTATCTAAGGATTAGTGGCCATATACTGTAAGGACAGGTAGAGCAAGGTGGAAGAGGCAGGGAGACAAGTGAATGGAACCAGTGACCCTCACTCACCAGGTCTGTATAGGTTCGATGAGCCTGCACCGCTTTCCGCAGCAGCTCTGCCTTCTGCTGATCCTAGGAACCAAATGACTCAGTCAATTAATGGTTACTTTTCCTTTTGGGCTGCTAAGAAGCTCAGAGCTAAATTTGTGGCTCTCTTTCTGGGGCCTTCCTATCTTTCTGGGAATGCTGTATGTCCTCAAGCTGTAATTATGTGGTGACCGAGTAAACAGAGGGACAGCTCTAGCCCATTCACCCACCCTCACTGGGACGTCTCACCATCACATTGGAGTCGTCCATGGCCTTGACGAAGGCGAGGGAGTCCACAGAGGCTGAGCGGATGGTGTCAGTGCGGCCCAGGTGGAACATGCGCAGGGAGGCACTTTCGTATGTGGCACACACATGTCCGTAGATCCTGGGTGGGAGGTAGAGCTGAGCATGCCACTCCCAGGTTGCCCCTCTGGCTCCCCCAAGCCATTCTTTCCTGAGCAAACTGGGAGCAGGCTGACCTGTAGTAGGCTAGCTGCAGGGCCATCTGGATGAAGGCATCTGGGCTCATCTTCTGTGACTTAGGGAAGTCCTTTCCAAAGTGGTGAAACACTATCATCATGATGTCCAGGTCCTGAATCATGCTGTGAGGGAGGAGGGCATATGCACTGGAGGAAGCTAAGGGCATGACAAGCAGAAGAGAATATGCACAGAGGCCTACAGACCCAAAAATGAAATGCGGGCTGGAATGCGCGGGCTAGAGAGCAGCTGTCAGGGAAAGATGATGACAGGCAGGCATTTGGGAGCCCCTGCCAAACAAGCCTAGGGGAGCCTAACTAAATTTTCACTCAGGGCCAGAGCCAGGTCGGTGATAGACGTGGGACAGGAGCTGCCGAGTCTCTTGCCCACCCAGCACAGAGGTGGCGGGGCAGGCACTTACATGCTAAGGTTCTGCTTGGCCTTTTCGATGTCGCTTTTGATCTCTGGGGTGATGTTGAACCGCAGCTTCTTGGGCATGGGCAAGGGCACCATGGGAGACCTCACAAACTCAGGCTTTTTGCTGCAATGAGGACACAGGGCCTCAGGCTCATCATGCCAATGTCTCTGGAGCCTAGGTCCATGCCATGAGGAGGGCAGGTTCCCTAAAGCTGAGGGTCAGGTGGATTTCAGCCCAGCCAGGTGGCCACACTGAAATCTAGAGATGTGGAAAAAGTCGCCCAAGGTCACTCAACTCCTCAACTCGAAGTAGAGCAACAATTCAAACCCAGGTCCAAATCTAAAACCCATACCCTCTGCAGGCTTCCTTTGAATAAACAGATTTCCAGGGACAAGGGAGAAGGATGTTCTCTCACAGCACCATGACATCTGTCACCAGGAACTTAGGAAACTGGTGTGTGTGTGTATGTGTAGGAACCATACTAACGTGTACTCAATGACATGGTCCAGGAGACTGACGATGGGGGGCCCTTCTGCTGCTGCGTGCTCGTACACGAGCCCACAGGAGCCATCTTCTGCCACGATGAACTGTGGAGGGAAAGGGATGAGCCCTTCAGCCTTGAGTCCTAGAGAGTGGCTCCTGACCCTGTTCTCTGGTTAGGCCCCATGGGAAAGGCCCCTCTAAAGTCATCCTCCTCCTGTTATTCCTAACAGCTCACATTAAACAGATGTGCTAACAAGCTGGTCCCAGGCTCATCCGGAGCATGTCCCACGCTCAGTGGGTCTCATTGAGCGACTTGCAATTACCCTAATGGGAAGTTCCACTACCACCTCATTTTATAGGTCCAGAGAAGGAGAGTCAGTGAGACTGCATGGCTCTGTCTGGCTTGGAACATAAGTCCTCTCTCTCCCTATGTGCTGAAGGGGAGTGCTGGGGAGCTCCAAGGCTGGCGTGCTAGGTCCTGTAATGATAGGCTGCTGCCCCATAATTACAGCAGCGTCCAGCCTGCTTGCTTCCCACCTGCTTTACAAGCTGGGGGGCTGGGAATGCTGGAGAGGGCAGGAAGTCCCCAGGGCCCCCGGGGGCCTGTCTGGGTGGGTGTCTGGACGGAATCACTGTCCCATGGGCTCCTCAGCCAAGGCCCACCTGCAACGTCTTGTCAAACCAGCGGTTGCCGCTGTTGAGTTTGCTGCCACCACCATGCAGCATCTGGCTGGCCACATGGTTGCGATACACATCTTCTGAGACCCGGGGCATGGGCGCGTCCAGGCACACAGTGAAGATGCTCTTCTGGATGGAACGCACTGACTCCCGATTCACTTTGTCTGCATGTAGTAGATGGTCGAATGGGCAGGGCATGAGAGGGGGTGAGTGTTACCCTGCCCAGAGTTCTCTCTCAGTGCCCCCTTGGGGCTTGTACACGTCGTGCTGTAGAGATCTAGGCTTTCAGAACATCCCCTATGCTCTAGGCTTGAGGGCAGGGGGCTTACACTCTTCAGATCCCTGCGGCCTCACAGTTCTCCATGAGGAAGGGACTGACATCGGAACCTACTTTAGAGATGAGGACACAAGAGCCCAGGGTCACACTGGGAGCCAGTGTGGCAGTCAGGGATAAAAACTCTGGGGAGAGTACCTTGACAGGTAATACAGGGACCGAGGAGCTGAGGCTCTAGAATCTAATCCCAGTTTGCAGTTTATTCGAGGGAAGAGAACCAAACTGAGCCTCAATGTCATCCTCTCTAAAGAGGACAACACTCTTGACCGAGTAGAGAAGAGCAATGAGAGGCCAGCTGCACAGCACCTGGTGGTGTCCCTGCCTGGTGTGGAGGAGACCCAGATGAATGGGGTTCAGCATGAGGACCCCTGGGCTTCCCTGGGCCCTTGTTCTCAGGCTCAGGAGGCACCTTTGATGAGTGTGTTGTAGGCCTTGGCCCAGGAGTTGCGGTGGTTGGACGTTAGGATGCCCACGGGTTCCTTGTTGGTCTGTAGTGACGAGTTCCAGATTTTCTCCAGTTGTATGAAGATCTGATCTGAGGTGAGGGGTGTCCCATCGCTGTGATATACATCCAGCTCAAAAAACTGTCCAGGGAGAAAAGAGAGGACTACGTAGAGGATCTCAGCCAGGTAGTGGTCACCTCCTCCTCGCAGCCCCAGCAAGGCTGTGGTCACGGGGCACTCAGGGCCTAGGTGAACTAGTGAGTCAGGCAAGGGGAAACAGCAGGCCCACAGCTGCCTCCTGGCCTCATCAGGTTACCTGAGTACCTAGTGGAGGTCCACAGACCTGCTCCTGGGAACATGTGGGCATATATGTTGGGGGTGGAGAGTGGTAGCTACCTTTGGCCCGACCCTCCTTTCCCCCTGCAGTGGAGTGAGGGGTCAGACACTGTGGATTCTCCTACCTGATTGTTGTGCACTATGGTGATGTGTGTGGGCGGCTTCTTGGTCTTGCTAAAGTTGATGACTGAGTCTTGCTTGGGGCCTGGTACGCGGCAAGAGGACAGGATCTGATAGTACTGGTTCATGCACAGTGGCTTTCCTCCCAGGTACTCCACTGGCAGGGTCTCACTGTGAGCACAGAGCAGCAAGTAATTGGGCATGGAGGAGAGGACTGAGGAGCCTTCTGGGGCTGTTAGAGGGAGCAGGCCCAAGCGCTGCCTTAGTCACATCAGGCCCCCTAGTGGCAGGGTTAGGGTGTGTCTGGACTGGCACTGCAGTGAGTCACCTAGGAACTCTTGCCTCCTCTCTGAGCCTAAGTTTACAATGGGGAAAGAAAGCTGAGTCAACCTCTGCCTCTGTGGCTGGAAAGTTACATTTCCAATGTCACCAGGAGGCAGTCATAGCAGCCAGAGCAGAGGACAAAGGTATCTCAATGTCCAGTTCTCCATCTCCTCTAACCCTAAGAGGGCTGGGCAAACAGGAAGTGAAACAGTGAACTCTGGGTCCCCACAGTGTCCAGGCTATCTTGCTGGGGTCAGGATTTGGGGTTGAGGGGATGTGGGAGGCTAGACCAAGCTTGAGTGGCTTTGGTAATTAAGGCTGTCAGGACAGGGGTGGGAGGCCTGGGACACCTTTGTTGGCCCCCATCTGCTTTGGAAGGGGCCAGGAAAGGGTAGGGCTGGGGCCACTCACTTGTCAATCATGACCTTGAAGTCCAACACGCCTTCAATGAGTTTAGCAGCAAACCTGGAGGGATCAATTAGAGAAGAGGTCACCTGGAGAAGCCCAGTTCCAGGCAGGGAGAGCAATCAGGGTGCTGCAGGTGGTGGATTGCTTCACTCGCTTACAGAATGCTTGAAGGACTTGCAATAAGGTGCCCTGAGTCTGCTTTTTCATAATCTCTGAGGGAAGGAAGACTCAGGAAGATGCTATTGGTCAAAGGTCTGGCACAACCTTGATGCTAATAAGTGACAGATTATTACAGCTGTGTTAGTGGCAGTTGATTCCACCTCCATAGGGGCTCGAAGTCCTAGCAACAGCCTGAGTGTTTCTCTGGGTGTTTGTGCATCACCTGGTCTGATGCATCAGCTACAGAGAGACCTGGGCATGCGGGGGTTGGGTGGATCAATTGGAGGACAGTAGCTTGAAATGTTCCCCCTACTAGATTCCTTTTCCTCTCTGACTCCTTCTCTCTCTAAGCTGTTGCCCTCAACCTGCCCTTTCTCCCTGAACCAGCCGAACTTATAAAGAAGGGCTTCTAGATTGCATCTGATGCCTGGGCTGCCTCTGGTCCCCAGTACAGATAGTGGCAACTGGACTTTTTGGGTTGAAACTTCTATCCCTTCTCCAGGGAGCCCTGGTCACTTTAAGAGAAGCAAATGGTAGCCCTAAGAGACTGGTCTTTGGGAAGGAGATTGCTGTTGCTGATATTTTTATCCCTGAGAGGACTGGGATGGAGGCCAGGGCAGGTGATGAGGCCGAATGTGGAAAACGGGACTGTGTACAAAGGTCATCCCTGTGGTCAGTTCAGCGGAGAAGAAGGGAGGGCGAAGTACCAAGACTGTGGTTGTGGGAGTCTTGGGTTTAGGGGAAGGAGGGGACTTGGTTCATGGTTTGGTGGCTAACAGTCAGAAAGTTCTGGAGCTGGAGAAACTCTGCCTCCTGTCCTGGCTGTGTCAATCCTGAGCTGTGACCACAGACAAGTCTCTTTACAGTTTTGAGCCTCAGTCTCCCTCTCTGTAAAATAAGGATATGCTCAAAACAACTATGAGATATCATCTCACCCCAGTAAGAATAGTAAAATATAACAGAAAAGCCAACATCAAATGCTGGAGAGATTGTGGAACCCTTATTCACTGTTAATGGGAGTGTAAAATGGTGCAATCACTATGGAAGGCAGTATGGCGCTTTCTCAAAAAGTTGCAAATACAAATATCATTTGACCCAGCAAGTCCACTACTGGGAATATATATACCGCAAAGAAACCATAACCGTCACCTAAGCAGATATATGCACACCCATGTTTATTGCAGCTTTGTTCACAATAGCAGAGCTGGAAACAACCTAAGTGCCTGTTAACAAACGAATGGATAGAGAAGCTGTGGTATAGTCACACGATGGGATACTATGCTGCTTTGAAATGAAAAGAACTTATGAAATATTATACAAAATGGATGACCCTGGGACATTATGTTGAGTGAAATATCTCAGTCACAAATGGACAAATATAAATAGTGCCACTGTTGTAAAACGGGACTGACATCGGGGTTGGGGCAAGACAGAAATATGGGATAAATTATGTATATTGCATTGAAACAGATGCAGGGAAGAACTGTTTAAAAGGGATATATGACCCAGAGGCACATGGTTCGAATTCACCAGATGCTCTGCCGGGAAAAGGAGGGACAATCTCCTCCTGTACCAGTCAGATCTGATTTGACGGTACAATCACACACACACACACACACACACCCACACACACACACACACACACGGATATATGTCCAGAACTAAGACTGCATGGTGGAGGTGGGGGGTGGGGTGTGGGGTGGGATTGTATAACAATGAAAGAATTTTTCTTTTACTTTTCAAAGAGAAGGGTGAACTAAGGGTGAGGGATGGGTAGGGAGAAAAGTGCAAAAATGAATCAATGGAAATCCGAAATTAATTTAAAAAAAAAAAAGAAAAAAAGGATATGCTCCCTATCCTATAAGGCTGTTCATGGGGATGAAAGCTAACAAATGGGAATAAAAAGATATGGAGGAATAAATGAAAGCTAATCAACAGGGCTGGAGCCCATCTCTTCTCCTGGAGGAGGTGGACTGTAGGGCCTTGGAAAGGCCTGGAGCTCTGCCCTCTGGCTTCCTGCCCCTGTCACTGTCTTCTTTTCCCAGCCTCTGCCACTCACCGGAGCTGACCTTGTAGATCCACAAAGTCCTGCTTGGGCAACACCAGGCCAGGGCTTGAGTAGATGACCACAGGCTGGCGGTACTGGAGGTAGGCTGTCTTGAGCCACCACTCAGAGAGCTGAAGGGAAGAACCAGAGCCCATCAAGATTGGCAAGAAGGGAGCTAGTACCCCTTGCTTGGGACCAGGGCACTTGGCTGGACCCCAGTGCCTTCTGTCCCTTCTGGCAACCATTGACCATAGACTCTGGGTGCAATATTAGACATTCTTTTTTTTTTAATTTTACATCTAATTTTTATTTATTTTTTTTTACTATGGTAAAAAGATATAAAACCAAACACTCACCAATTTCCATGTGTGCAATTAACACTGATTTTCATGCTGTACAGTTGTTCTTTCTTAATTTTTAACTAATTATTCCACTACCATGAACATAAATTCTTCCCAAGCCAAAAAAAAAATCCTCTATTTTGACCACTAATACATTTTAATTTCTATGTACAATGATACCTAGACCTCAATGGACTGCAGTGTTTTTATAAGTCTCACTTATAAGTTTTTATAAGTTTTCTGCCTTTCAGAGGAAACAAGTCTTAATATTTTTCTGTTGTACTCTACTAGTGGAAAATAATTTGAGTTTCTCTTCTAGTTTGGATTTTTGTTTTACACAAGTTCCAGTTTTCACAGATTTTACTATCTTGTAAAGTAAGACTAGACAGTATTTTTTGATACTGGACATTCTTGGAATGAATTTTGGATCCAGAATACTGTTCCTGCCTTTACCCACTAGCAGCACTTCTATCATCTTCCCTTTGGCCTGAGCCAATTAGGATTCAGCCTCAGCAAGAGAAAACAGACAACACTGACAATAAAAAAAGACCAGAATCCACACCCATGTTTATTGCGGCTTTGTTCACAATATCAAGGAGCTGGAAACAACCTAAGTGCCCATCAACAACCAAATGGATAGAGAAGCTGTGGTATATTCACACAATGGAATACTATGCTGCATTGAAAAACAAGGAACTCATGCAGTATTTTTTTTTTAACTCATGCAATATTATTCAAAATGGGTGACCCTGGAGGACATTACGTTGAGTGAAGTATCTCAGTTACAAAAGGACAAATACTGCATGGTGCCACTGTTGTAAAACAGGACTAACCTCAGGGTTGGGGGGAGACTGAGAAAGATGGGTTCAATAATGTATACTGCACTGAAACAGATGAGGGAGAAAACTGTTTAAAAGGGATATGTGATTAAGTATTTTTGTCATGACAGGAGTCCAGAGCATAGGCTGCATAATGCAGTGGACCTGGGGGAGGGTTTGTAAAACAATGAAAGAAATCAGGCAAAAAATAAGACTGAGGCAATGATGAACCTTACTTCCGTTCCTTTTTAAAACACCTGGATTCTCTGTTATAACATTTGTGGCCACCTATAGGTAAAAAAAAAGTGTTGTCTTTGAGCCTGTTATACATTTAAGAAGAAACTGGTGAAATAGTGAAGAAGAAACCCTATGATGGTCCATCTCCAGTTCTCACTTAGCCATTCCGATTTTAGCTATGCAGTCACAGTGAATGTAATCCAGAATCCTGTCAGAATCTCTTCATTCTTTGTTATGCCTAGAATTCTGTACCACCTGGAATTAAACCAACTCATTTGGAAAAAAACAGACCAGGAAGAAGAGCCTGAAAGGAAACTCTGCCTTGGGGAAGAAGAGGGCCAACAATGTAAGTAATTTTTCTTTATTCTATAAATTCTAGGATATTGATTATAATACTATTTTAAGTAAAAATGTGTGCTCAGAGAGAGAGAAAAAAAAGAAAAGGGAAAGACATGAGAAAATGAATATGTTTTTGACCTCAGTCAGCTGAGAGTTCTCTAGGGAAGCACGAGGGTTCATGAGCAGCCGTGAACCCTGGTCCTTGTCTAAAGCCTCAGATTTTTGGGTATCTGACTATGAAGTCGATATCTACTTTGATCTTAAGGATGATCTCAAGGTCTGGCATTTGGCTGATACATCCTGTGTCTCCATTCTGAAGTCTGCTCTCTGTCCTAGGACAGGGTTGCTTCCTATGGGGTGAATGGTGCTTCTCTGAGGTGTATCTTTATAGATCATTGGCTGTACACAACCTAGCCTCTGCCAATTATGTACTGACTGCAACACCCTCCTGTTTCTCTCAAAGTGGAGGCTGAGAACTCCTCTCTTTCCCCTAGGGACCATGGTTCATATTGTGCTTTCTAAACCTAACTCAAAGAGCAGGGCTGTGGGATGAGCCTCTTTACCACACTTGAGTCCCTTTGGAGAACTGCTTGCCTGTGGGACAAGGCCACTAGCCTTGGGTCCTTGACAAGGGGCAAGGTGGTGTGGAGAGGCCGACTTGCCCCAGGAAATGGCTGTCTTCTCCCTCATGGTCTAAGGACTGGGCTCCTGAGTCAACCAGATTCTCTTATGTAGTTCAGAGTTTAGAGTGATTATTGTGTGGCTCTGGGCTTCTGGTTGAACTATCTCGGCCTCAGTTTCCTCAGTAGGGAAGGCATGGGAGTCAGGCTGAGAGTGAGTGCTGAGGGTTCCAGACTAGAGCTTTCTCCCCTTGGGGACAGAACTGGCTGCCTCTCAGCTTGGGGCTTCTTACACTGTGCATCTCAGAGTCTTGAGCCAGAGCTTGATAGACTAGGGGAGATTCTGCTGGTGGTAGCAATACAGAGAGAGCAGGCTTTCCCTCCTGAATTCCTGTGCTGGGTGCTGACAGAGACCTCAGAGTACTGTGGATGAAGAGATGATGTCTCCATTCCTTTAGCCTATAGCTTCTGTTTAAAAAAGGGGCTGCAAGCTAAACAAAGTTGGAAAACCATGAGACCTCAGCCTCTCTAGGGAATGTCTAGGGCCATCATCTTAATTCTGGAATCCAAGCCTGGCTGACTACAGCTCAGCAAATGTACCCACGAAGCCAACTCCTCTTGTCCTGTGTGCAGAGTTCACCCCTCCATCGAGCTCTGGGGTCAGATTTCCACCTGCTCACCCACACCTCCCCTATGAGATGGCACAGATCCTTCCCCCCCCCCCCCCATTTTCCATGCTCAACGTACAACTCTGCTTCTCTCCCACAGGCCTGCTTCTACCTCAGTCATTCTTATCTAGGCAAATTTCATTCTTTTTCCCCACAAAGTTGCTTTAGGTCAGAACTTCACTACTGCCCTCCACTCCATCAGCAACTACTACTGGTACTGTCTCTAAAACATATCCTGGTTCTGAAAAAAAAAAAAATTAAAAAAACCCCAAACAACCCTAAAAAACGTATCCTGGTTTTGTTCACTTGCCACCCCCTCCCTGCCAGCTCCCTGGGTCCATGCTGTTGGTCTCTGAGATGATAGCACCAGCCACCTCATGGGCTTTCCTCTCCTGTAACCACAGCAAGCCTTTTCAAACTTTATAGTGAAGATGCACAGAGCAAAATGCATACACAGAAGTGAGCACAATTGCATAAGTAGAACCTATCCACGTAACTGGTAGGGCCGTCATTTAACATAAATGCTGTGCCTAAAATCACCTCTGGAACTTCATCACATCCAAATTCTTCTACTGTAGCCTCTCTTAGCTTTGGCTTGGCTGCACTCCAGGCTCCCCAGCTTTGCTGGCCTCTTTCTCTGGCCCCTGTTTAAGCCAGGCTGTCTTCCACACTGACAGTGTTTCTCCCTCTGTGTCAGACAATCAAGTCTTAAATCTAATGCCACTTCTGCCCTTCCCTCACTGGACTACTCAAAATAAAGAAGTTGCTATTTTTCAGCCTTACACTTTTTCATGTTACCCCTTTTTTATTTTTGTAGAACTTTATAACTGAAATGACATCATCGGACTACTTGTGTTCTGTTTATTACTTCTCCCCCCACTACTTGAATGTACACTCCAGTATATAGGCCCACAAAGGACCTCACCTGGGGCCAGGCATAGAGTAAATACTTAAGAAAGTCCACGATTAACACCTTAGCAGCCTGGCATTTGAAAGTTCTGTGTGTGTTGTTGACAGAAGGATGGAGAGATGCTCAGGAGGATCTGGAGCCTCTGGGAGGCCTCCTGTTTGGACACTCCTCACCCTCCATAGGAGGTGAGAGGACCCACATGCCTCCTGCTGTTTTACTCACCCAGTTCTCTGTCTTTCTGGCTCGGCGCTCCAGCCCCTTCTGAAGCCGGTCTCCAACACCCCCTGGGGTCCGAAATTCATCCACTAGCTCCTTAGTTTGAGTCCATTCCTCCTCGCTCACGATGGGCTGCAGTGCCTTGAGGTAGTGGTCCAGGGACTGCTGCAGTGAGGGCACAGGCAGTCGGGGCAGTGCATCCTGGTGTGCCTTGAAGCGTCCCGAAAACTTCGTCAGGGAGGTGGGCTTGAGGAAGCCTAGGGGCTTCACCTGCAGGCAGCAGAACATTTTGCTCATTCCCTCAGCAGTTCTAGGAAGGTGGCTGTGACAACCCCAAAACTGCAGTCCTGGGCACTTATGTGATTACCCCTGGGGTCAGAGACGCCTCTTAGGCGGTGCTGTACACGCCCTGTCTCTTAGCCCTAGAGCTGTAGGTGTCCCCACCTCTTAAAGGACAGGTGGACAGGCCATGCAGGTAGGGAAAGGGGAGGGCAGGGTGTGGCCATTGATCTTGGCAGGGCTCAGGAGAACCAAGTCAGAAGAGCTGCCACCAGCTGGGGGTGGTGGCAGTGGGACCTCCCACCTGCCTTAATCCATTGGGCCCCGCCTTTCTTACTCTGAGAAGAGGAGCCAGCCAGCAGTAGGGTGACTATACCTCCTAGAGGCCTCCACTTCCTTTTCTCCCACCCTTTCCAGGTTGAGAAATAGGAGAGAAGAAGAGAAATCAGAGAGAGCAAGAGGATGACAGCACTTTTGGGTGAGGCAATGCCTCAGCCCTTTTCTGGCTGACAGTAGGGGATGGGAAGGCATAGGGCTGAGAGAGCTGAGCAGCCCGACATGGAGGGCAAGAGGCAGCAGTGAGAGTAAGTAAGCCCAGGAGATTCTGGAGGTCAGTAGAAGAAGAGACAGGAGAGTCCGAGGCAGCACGCAGGCAAGCTGCAGACTCCATTCCATACCTTCTCTCTTTGCTGCCCGTCCTCCATGGCAGGACTGAGGTTCTGAGCCCTGTCTGTCTGTCTCGGGCTGGATCTCTAAGCCTAACTGTGCTACCAAGTGGGCGAGCAGAACCTAGCAAGGGGCAGCCACCTGCCTGGGCTGGAAAGAGAAGACAAGAGCCAAGATTTAGGGAGGGGGAGACAGAGGTCATGGTGGTGGTGGTGGTGGTGATGATGGTGGTGGTGGTAGCAGCATCTGGGGATGCAGCAGGGAAAACTGTTGAATCTCTAGAAGTGGCTCCACTTCCCTGGCTTCTAGAGGCAGAGGTACAGGGAGCAGGTGAAGGGTCTGGAGAGTGGCATCGGAGTAGGCGGGAACCTGGAAAACATTCTCATTTTCTTTTCTGAATGGGCTCAGCACCAGGGAAGCAGGCCAAAACGCATTAAAAAATTCACCTGTTGGGATTTGTTTGATGAGGGAAAATCTGGCTGGAGGGTAGAAACTGCCTGGCTGCTGAGGTTATGCTGCAGCCTTACAACTGGTCCTGGAATCAAGGATGGTCAAGGAAGTAGACACCAGAGGGGCCAGAAGTGAGATATGGTTGCCAAGAGCCCCTTCTCTTACTGCCCATAAAAACTCTTGGATTACTTTGATGGGTCCTGGTTTTTCTTGACTTCATGAAGTGAATGGCCAAGAGTGGAACACTTTTTTTCCATTTACTATAAACCATGACATAGATCATGAGGATGATATGAGATAGGGCAAGTTTCAGATCTGTTGTTCACAGAGTCATTAAGAATTGTAGTTGACTTGATGGCACCTAACAACATAAACCAAGAAGCAACGGGCTTTGGGACTGAACCCTGTTCGAGTAATCAACTCCCTCCTACCCCAGTTTCCCTAGCAGGACAGTAATAGGCTAGCTGGGAGGCCCTGAGGAATGAGTGGGGAATTGACAGGGAAATAGGGGCCCACTGGTGGCAGTGGAAAGGATGAGGAGGAGGTCCTGGAAGGCCCTGAAGAACCTCTAAGTCTGAGTTCCTTAGTCAGTAGACTGGTACCCCTAGCCATCCGGGCTTAGTGGTTTTAAAATACTTTTTGCATAGGGAGCGGAGATACAGCAGAGATACCCCAGGAGTTCAACTCAGAGAGCCTTGGATTGCTCCAGGCTACTCTCTGGGAAGGAGGAGACAAATGTGGGCAGATTGAAGGAAAGATGTGGTCGTGAGGGGAGTAAAGAGTTGGCATTTGCTGCCATCTGCCAGTTCTGAGCACATCAGAACAGCCAAGTTTGAGGTCTCTGGGAGAATTTCTCTGGCCATGACCAATTGCATGGGGTCAGAGAAGTGACTCTGGTTTGGGCAGAGACAATCCAACCTGGGATGGGTATGTGAGCCTGAGAAGACCTGAGTGTGTCCAGGTTAAGGGGTTAAGACTCCAGATGTTTTTCCATTTGGCTGTCTAAAAGTTGGGGTGTTAACTGAAGCCCGGGACTCCAACTGTCCTTTCCTGGTTGTTGTAAGTTGGGATCACAAGAAAAAGGTTCGATACCACCCATGATTGTGTGTCTTGGTCTTTTCTACCAATTGGGGGCAAGCCACCCACTGACCCCACCCCATCATCATCAGCAGGTCGAGCCGGACCACTGGGTGCTGCCTGGCTGTGGCGTCCCTGTTTCCTCATTCGGGCGCAGCTGCGTGGCCTGCTCGGCCTTCGTCCCTCCCGTCCTGTCAAAAGGGCCCGCTGGGCCAGGCTTCTGGCCGTACTCACCATGGTCCTGGCGGCGAAAGCCAACATCTTGCAGCCTGCCAGCGGACAAACAGTCCGCTCCGCCCCCCACGCTGGTCAAAGTCTACACCGCTGCTGCGGCCGGTGGGTCCCGAGTCACCGCAGGGCCAAGGTCGCCGAGTCACAGCCGCCAGTCGGTAGACATGGCCCCGAGCCCATCCACCGGGCTGTGCGAGCGGGCGCCGGGCCCGAGGGAGGGCAGGCTGGCTCGTGGGGCGGGGCCTCTGTTCCTGCGGACCAGAGCGATTAGCCGCGAGCCCCAGGATGGTCCCACATCCCTGGGGGCGGGGCTACACACCAGGGGGCGGGGTAACACGGGGCGGGGCCACATCCCGGGAGCGGGGTCCAGGGAGCATCTAGGGGCTGTGAGATCCGGCAAAGTGGGAGTTACTGTTTAGCTTTCTTTCCTTCACCTCCAAATGTGGTTTGCAACTCTTTTCGACTAAGCTGTCAGAAGCAGTTTAGTGTCATTGAGCATTAATCTCAAAATAGCTGAGAAGCAAACCTTGCTGACAGAGGAATTCCCTATTAATAGTCCTAGAGGTAGAATCAGTAACACGCACAAAGATGACAGAAGGGGTCTGCCCCGCAGAAATATGGCTGCCGCACCTGTTACCCCCCCCCCCTTAAAGCCCCTCAAAAATATGGCTGCCACTGTCTCGCGCACGCGCGCGCTCTCTCTCCCCACCCACCCCCGTCCCGCCCCGCCCCACCCCCATGACCGGAGTGCGGTTAGCCGTTAGTGCGCATGCTCGCTAGGGCCCCGCACCAACATGGCCGCTGTTTCCCAATAAGTGGGATATCGGCGAGTCGGCCGTTGGAGGACATGCTCCTTTAGTGCCCCGCACCAACATGGCAGCCGTCTCCACTGGGACGACTTTAATTCTCAGTTTTCCATTCTAGCCGGCTGGTGCCTATTTCTCTTCATAAAGCTCTGCGCGCCAGAGGAACTGGGGGAAAGGAAGGGTGGGTTCAGGGGTGAAAGGTGAGAGGGGACGGCAAGCTTCCGGGCCGGCTTCTGGCGAGAGGAAGATGGCTGAGGTTGAGCGGCAGCCGCCGCCAGGTAGGGCCATGCCGGACTTGGATTAGATGAGGGATGCGAGGGCGGTACCCGGCATGGGGGCGGGAAAAGGGGTGTGGTGGTGGTGGTGGGTTCCCAGGCAGGAGCTTCTGGACGTGGAGAAGCTTGCGGGCAAAAGTTGGGGGAGGGCCAAAGAGTTGGGGGGCCCTGAAGGAGAAGAGGTAAAGGGAACTCGCAACAAGAGCAAAAACCGAGGGCTGGGAAAGGAGGAGTCGCGTGGTGTTTGGGGCGTAACAGTGAGACCTGGGGAGTCGGGATGTTCTAGGGCTGCGTGGGCAGCGCCTTGTCCCCAGGGAGGGGCCTTTCTGCGGGGTAAGGAAGGAAGCCCTTGAGCTGGTAGGGAAGTTGCCAGGGCTGGAGGCCAAGTGATTGGGGTGGGCACCTTCTGTAGTAGACTCTGGGTGTCTAGCAGAGGGTGGGTGCTTGGAGGACCTTTGCCCGCCTCCTATGTGCTCACACCATCCTGCTCACCTGCCCGCCGCCTCCGGCCTCTGGAGTTTCAGTGGCTTAACTTTTATTGAGAGAAACTGCCTTGGATGATGCCTCAACCACTAATTTAAAACTGCTAGTTGTCTGAGGAGTCAGTCTCTCTTGGGACGTCATCGTCTGTAACTTTTATTTACGTGCTATAGCTTCTTTTTGAGTTCTTTTTTTTTTTTTAAGAAAAAAAAAATCCAGGATGGAGGCAGTCAGGGAGCGTATTTTGAATAGAGATTCCTTTCCTGGAGAAAGTCAAGGTTGTTAACTGACACTCCTCTCTCTTTATTAAACTAAGGACTGACCACAGAAAACCTTCACAGTTGTGACAGGAGAAAGTAGGCTCAGACAAGTGTTTTGAAAGCTTTTGATGTCTCACAGTTTGCATTCCCTAAAACCAGAAGCCAAACCTGTTGCCATTCTCTGACTCCACTCATAGTGACACCACATTATTAGAGTAGAACTGCTAAATACAGGTTTCTTAACTAGTCTTTATGGGAAGCAAATTACCTCTCTTTTTTTCTGTGGCATCACTGGCTGGATTTGAACTGCTAACCTTTAAGTGAGCAATCAGTTGCGGTCTAACTATACTCCTTAGGGTCTTGGAAGGTCTCAAGAGAGATTTTGAAGATCAAAAGAGAAATTCTCTTCACCCTCCCAATAACAGAGGAGCAAAGAGCAGGATAGAGTTATATAGGGTATTTGAAACCAGCTCTTTAATTTCTTTTGTACAGAAGCTCTGTCTGTAGGATTCCAGATGTTCTGGTAATGATATCAGGAGACTTAAAGCAAATGAATTATCAGTGAGATGAATGTGTCTCTGAAAATGGACGGGAGGGATCAAGTTTACTGGAAGAAATGAAGGCTAGGGATCTATGGCTGGAAAGACTATGACTGAAAAAGTCTAGTCCTCTGAGGTGGTCATTCTTTGATCTTTGAAACAGAAAATATGGAACACGTGGAAAGAAGTAAAATTTAAAACTTTCACAGTAAAAAAAAATCTCAAAACAACATCCAAACTCATTGCTGTTAAGTTGAAACTGACTCGTAGCTGACCTTCCAAGTGTTTTTTTTTTAAATTTTATTATTTGTGTGTGTGTGTGTGTGTGTGTGTGTGTTTACCGTCAAATTGGATCTGATAGGTACAAGGAAGAGATTGTCCCTCCTTCTCCAGCAGAGCATCTGGTGGATTCAAACTGTGCACCTCTGGGATTGCAGTGCAACTTCTGGCCAGTAGGCCACCAGAGCTCTCCCCAAGTGGGTTTTTGAGAGGCTGTAAAACACTTGGGGGTAGATCGCCCATTTTTCTCCTGCAGAGCTGCTACCGCTAGTAAATTTGAGGTGGTAGAGAGGCACTCTTTGGGTTAGCACCAGAATTTCCTAAAACTTGGACTATATAGTGGTTAAAAGTTTAGATTTTTTTTTCCTTCTTTTTTTTTTTTAAATTAAATTTTATTAGTTTTAATGAACATTTACAGAGATTTTGGGTTTTCATTCATTCATTGTTGCACTGTTTTCTCCACCCTCATCC